CATCCTTACTTAAACTGCCTATTCACAATGCGGTGATAGTTTATTTTCGTTCTCTTATGCAGAGAAAAAGCTTTTACAGTCCAAATTACGCAAAGCTTTGTCAGGTGGAAAATCCATTGACTTGACCAAGACTTCAGACAATAAAAAGAATGCGTCGACGTCCACAGAGGATCTTGGTATAGATTTCCAGCATATTCCTTTCAGATTTCCTCTGTATTTGATTTGTCCTATTATCGGTCATGTCAAAGAAGATCAAACACCATCACATGATGGTGTTTACTTCCCTTTCCTTGGAAGGTCTACTGTTGAATTTGATACCATTTATCATAAAATAAAGTCTTTTGAATATGTATAAGCTAATTTATCAAGTCTACTAGGGAAATACATCTCGTTCCCCAATTCGCATGTTTATGGTTGCGTATCGTCCCTATTTGTCTTCTTTTACATTCCTGAGCTCCTGACTGCATATGTCGTTTAACATATTCAACTACAGATATCAATTCCACCACAGAACCTGCAAACTCAAATAATTTTGGCACTGCCTTGCTGGAAGGTGATACCTACAGTTCTCAGTTATCGCATGAAAACACACATCTCAATCTCGAGGGTCTGCACATGGCTATTCCTCCTGACCAGATAAGAATGATTCGAAACATTAATACATTAATCGCTGAGGTATACCATGTCACTGAAAATGTACTTCCTTTTTGCTTCATCCTGTCCGCCATGTTTTAACTGCGATATTCTTTGAAAGTAGTTTGTTGATTTGCATTTTCCACAACAACAAATGACTCGTAAATTTTCTTGGCCTGCAGTTGACATTGGAGAAAGATCAATTGATGCAAGCCTTGTCAGCAGAATCATCCGAAAATTCCAAGCTTTTGGTAATTTACATCCGATGTAGTTTTTGCCTTCTGCAGTTTCCTTGTATTCTATCTGCCATGTCATTTAAGAGAAATGATTTAGGAGCTAGTGTTACGGTGTGGCGCTACAGTTTACTATATTTTTAAAAGTCTTTGCAGATGAATCCGTATAGAATTTATTATTTCACTGAATCTATCACACACTAATTAGATTGTTGGACTTGAATTTAATCCAGATTTTTCTCAGTTTTCCATGACAAAACGATCTTATTGTATACGGTTATTAATAATGGTTCGGGAGTGGTGGAGAAATGTTCCATGTGTGACCTAAATTACCGAAAAAGCATCCCCTTAAGATTCTTGATTGCTTGGTTGTGTTGTCACATGATATTCTGTCCATGGTTTCTCGTTCCTAATTTCTTCTCTCTTATCCCTACTCTTCCTGGGTACAGGATTTAAACAAGGAATTGACCCGGAAGCTTGAAGCACAAACACAGAGATTGGAGCTCTTGATGGCTCAAAGTATTGCAGCTGATAATCCCCAACAAAGACAACTGGATCCAAGGGTGGTCCACGAAAGCACGAGATATGCTGATGAAGGTGATGAGGTAATATATCAACTATACCAGGTTATATTATTTTTCTTTTGAACTGTTTGTGCATGCAAACTTTGTTGGTTTGTGAAATGCGTGGTGCTGACATTTTGTGGTAAATACTTCTCCAAGACAAATTTCATAGCGAACTGTGTTTTTCTTGGGTGTATTATTTGTGTTAAAACATCATATTTACCCAAATATGCATCTGTAGTACTAGTGGGGCTGGAAAACGGTTGTTAAAATGAGCCGAAATCCATCTACCTTGCTGGATCGAAAATTTCTGCACTATCATATACTCATGTCAATAATCGTTTCCGAAGTTTTGGTAACCAAAATATCCATTCGATTTCGGTTTATTTTCGGCATTACCGAAATTTCAAAGAGCATCAAGAAAGTTGTAAAGTAGGCTGAAAAGCAGCAAAGAAACACTACGAGCAGTAATTCGGCGCAAATTTTTTACGACATTAAGCACCAAAAAATGAATAAATAAATAACAGATTCGGCCTCAATCAAAGCAAAAGGCTGTGTTTTTGGGCCCCAAATGGCTGCAATAGCAGGATAGTACTAATGAAAATCAGCTGCAAAACCAAAGATTTGTTGAACTTGAGGACTACTGCTGGAACATTTGCTGTAGGGGGAGAAAGAGAGAGAGACCTCTTGTTCTTGGTCTCTCATAAAATGTTGTTTGTTAAGATTATCGTCAAATCTTTACATTTTCAAAGTCGCTACCATACTGTTAATTGATTTATAACTGACCGTCGGTTACTATAAATTGTGAGCCGGTGTGGTTCATTTTTTTATGCCGCTAGTTCTCTTGTTCTTGGCCTCATTCAGAATCTTTTTTNNNNTTTTTTTTTTTTTTTTTTCTTTTAAAGTTCGGTATTATGAACCTTACATATCCAAAACGCTGCCGTACAATTAGTTGATCTGTAACGACTATTGAGTCAGTTTGGTCAAATTTTCTACGCCGTTGGTTCGGTTTAGTTGTTTTATTTATTTATTTTTTCCTTCTGAACTTTCCCACCCCTTGTACTGTGTAGTTATTTATAATTTGGAAGAGTGAATGCAAGTGAATATCCCCTTAATGACTTTTGTTTTGGGTGGTGTAATGTAATCTGAGCTGCACTTCCCGGAAAACGTAAAAATGTAGCAGCAAATGTATTCAAGGGTTTATGTTCTATTCATTCCGTGTGTCTTTTATTTTTTCCTTTTTAAAAAAGAACTTGCTCCAACAGATGGTATAATTTCTGGTTTGTGTGGGATTATGTTCATGTTGATTCAATTCATGATAATAAATAAATAATTCTCAACGAACATTCTCTCGAGTTATTAGTCGAAGATATGATATTTCATTTCATGTCCTTTTTTCTCCTCTATGTTCTTTCTTGGGCCAGGTGGTGGAGAGGGTATTGGGCTGGATCATGAAGCTCTTCCCTGGAGGCCCATCAAGAAGGCGACCCAGCAAGCACCTCTGATTACTTATACAAGAGTTCTTGTGCAGTTAATTCTTTCGTCTTCGTTTGTCATCTCTAGATGGAGCCTGCAAATTTATACGCGGAGGTTATACACGTCCTTACTTTTTACCAGAGGAGGGAACATGTCGCTTTCTGGAGGGGTTTGGAAAAAGAAAAATGCAGAGTGTACATTTTTCTTTTTGACTTTCGCTATCACAATTCGGAGACTGACCTGCATTTCCAAGAAAATTTTCAGGTCTGCTCTATATATTCTGGGACATTTGTCCAATTTGGAAAAGAACTTAAGATTGAAGTGAAATATTGACAGTGTGGCTAAATAGAAATCCAGTCTATTCTTTGTTTTTTTGGGATTTTTGCTAGTACTCCCTTGTATACCAACTGAATATGGGAAAGTAAGACACATACATTTTTAATCGTATTATAGGTTTTTGAACAATGTTGTTTGAGTTTGTAGTTTTCTGAATTGAGAGTTGGTAGGGATTTTGTAGCGTACCTCTATCCGCAGGTCGTAGCAAGGTACCTAAACTCGATGCATATAGTAAGGGCATTCTTAAAAAGTAACTTTTACAAACAAGTCTGCATTTGGGAATATCGAGAATGGCCGGGTGACTAAAAGTTAAAACTTGAGGTTTATGATATTTCTTTCTTTTTTTTTTTTTTTANACAAGAGAGAGAGAGAGAGGTTGAGAGAGACCATTTTTTTTCTTCAAACATCAAATAACTCAAACTCGGTAGTCAACAGTCCGGTAACCAATGGAATAGTCCTTAATCAAGTCAAACACTTAAACAAGAGGCCACTACGGGTATGGCTCCTCCCACAAAAGCTAAACCTCTCAACTACTCTCCCCCTTACCCAAGTCACCAACACCCTTCATAATTCTTCCCCTTTGATGATACTGATAGCTTCAAACTCCATCCAATCCCACCTTGCTTTCTCAACCAACGACCTCTTAAATATCCAACTATTTCTTGTTTTCCACATCCACAATAACAAATAGGTAGATAGTGCCATTCTCTTTCTCTTTTTGTTTTGATCATTGGCTTCCAACTTGCAAAGATCTCCCAACCAGCCTTGGAAATTGACTTCCTCAACTTTGGTTTTGTCCCACAACAGCCCAATCAGTTTCCGAATATTCATTGCTTTGTCACAATAAGAACTTCTGACCATTTTGTCCACACGACATAACTAATAAGAACGAATAAGAACCATAACTAAAACCAAACATCTATTCACAAAATGTACTCAACAACTAAAACACAAACACACGACAAAACTATAATGAAAAAAACAAATTACTAAAACCAAACATCTATTCACAAAATGTACTAAACAACTAAAACACAAACACACGACAAAACTATAATGAAAAAAACAAATTGCTCATTTGTCGCTCGAAAGCGGGGATGCTGTTCGTCTCGTCACGACTCCATGGAAAAACTCCGCTGGTGCTCGACCCTCCGTTGCCAGTGCTCGACTGATCGAGCTCCCATTGCCCTCGGCTGAAGCCCGTCGTCAGGCGACCTACGCCACTCACAACCCAGAAGAGACCGTCGCGCGATCGTAGCCGTCTGCTTCAGGTGCTGAAACTGTCGGTTTCCGCGCCACTGCACCCGCCGCAGAGGACGACCTGAGAGAGGGAAGAAAATGGGAGGTTTAGAAATTGGGATTGTTTAGGGAGAGGGAGATAGCTACTCGTTGATGGGTGGCGAAATACGGCGTTTCGATCAAAAGAGGCCAGATCTGGAAGCATGGTTTGTAGATGAGCACCGGAAACTGCAAGCTTAATTTTGGACCCGACGACGAACGGTGCAATAGGGACTTCGATATGGCGGAGGCGCCACCGAAGGCAACATGTAGCAGACGTATCAGGGGCTATTATAGGGATACAAATCTATTGAATAAGAGGCTACTGGAGGTTGGCCGCTCGATGTGGCTGAACATAATTGCCGATAAGCGGCAAGATTCTGGCCCCGACATGTGGTTCATCGAATGGAATTTGAGCGATCCGAGATTTTGACAAAGAGAAAAAAGAAGGAAAGGAGAAGATGGGGAAAACTAGAAGATCATATGGGGAATTGAATGGAAAAGAAACGAGAAAAGAAGAAGGAAAAGGGAGGAAATAAAAAATGATGGTATAATTACAAAGAAAAACTAGGGTGTTGATATTATAATTGTAAATAAAGAATAAAATTAGTAAACGTGTAAATAAAAATGATCTTGATAGTGAATGGTGTAATTTTTTCTTTTAGAAAAAAGGGGCTAGCCCGCGGCCTGCCCCGCCAAAGCCCGCGGTCCAAGTTGTAGCGATTTTCTTGGATGATTTTATTTATGGAATTCCATTTATGAGATTATATTTTATTTTATTGGTCGAGATGTCAACTTAAATTATATGTTGAAGTACTCGATCGTTTTATTGTAAAACGTTCGTCGTCCGGCGATTTCGGTTAATCGCGAAATTCGAATCTAAGCCGTTCGATTATTGGAATTTTCGAATATCGCTTTAATGGCATAAATTTTATTTATTTGAATTGAATGCCTAAGTGATATTATTATGTGGATTATTATTATCTTATTTTTATTTAATTGCCAAAGTGAAATAATTTTTTGATGATATATTTATTATGGTGTGCGATATATATATATATATATATATATATAGGGGATGGATCCAATGAGACCACTCCTTAAAATGAGTACGTGAGACTCAATCTTAGCCACTCATTTTGTCTAGATCAAAACCAATTAAAATATAAATTAATTAAATAATAAAATAGTTGACCGTTGACTTCCGGCGTTGACCGTTGACTTCCGGCGAGAATCGTTGACTTCCGGCGTTGACCCGTTGTATTGAAATAAATAACCTAGCAACAAAAGACACTCAACCTTGAGTGGTGTAGTGGTTGCATTGCTTGTCTTGCCTCCATGAGGTACCAGGTTCAAATCCTATGGGTTACAATTTTTTTATAAAAAAAAAATACAACTAACTTAGCAACATCAGACAACTAACCTAGCAACAAAACACAACTAACTTAGCAGCATCAGACAACTAACCTAGCAACAAAACACAACTAACCTAGCAGCAAGAAAGAACAACTAAACTACAACTAACCTAGCAACAAAACACAACTAACTTAGCAATTATCAGACCCGATATACATACGTTCCAGACCGACACTGCTCCACTCCGCCTTCGCACGCTTGTTCGGATGGATCAGCTTGGATATCCATCTTTCCGCTTTCAGTAGATTAAGTTTTCTTTGTTATCATTTCAGTTCATTAGATTCTCATTTTCTTTTTCGGGCACCTGTTAGCCCAGAGACAGAGTTTGTATTTGTATCGCTAGTGAGACATTGTAGACTGTTGATATTTTGACCCCCGTTTTGGGGTCTTGATCTATGCACAGGTTGGGGATCCAGCCCAATCCCCCGCCCTCCCGGGGCGTTATTTGTTTTAGAAAAAAAAACCTAGCAACTACAGACAACTAACTTAGCAACTACAGAGAACTAACCTAGCAACTACAGACAACTAACCTAGCAGCTACAGAGAACCAACCTAGCAACTACATAGAACTAACCTAGCAACTACTAACCTAGCAACTACAGAGAACTAACCTAGCAACTACAGAGAACTATCCTTGCAACTACTAACCTAGCAACTACAGAGAACTAACGTAGCAATTACAGACAACTAACCTAGCAACTACATAGAACTAACCTAGTTAGAAGGCTAGTTGTCAACGGTCAACGCCGGAAGTCAACGGATTTCGCCGAAAGTCAATGGTCAATGCCATAAGTCAACGGTCAAAGAAATAACCTAGCAACAAAAGACAACTAACCTAGCAGCATCAGACAACTAACCTAGCAGCAAGAAAGAACTAACCTAGCAACAAAAGACAACTAACCTAGCAGCAAGAAAAAAATAACCTAGCAACAAAACTCAACTAACATAGCAGCTACAAATAACTAACCTAGCAACAACAAACAACTAATCTAGCAAGAAAGAAATAACATAACAAAAGACAAATGGTCAACGGTCAACGTCGGAAGTCAACGGTCAATGGCGGAAGTCAACGGTCAACGCCGGAAGTCAACGAGTTTCGCCGGAAGTCAACGGTCAACGCCGGAGTAAACGGTCAATGGTCATAATAATATTTAAATAATTAAAAATAAAGAATTAAATAATAAAAATAAAAAATTATTATTTAAATCAAGATCTAAATCTTGTGGCTAGGAATGAGTCTCACGTTCTCACTTTACCGGATTTTATATATTTAATTTTCCGGTCGTCGTCGTGTAATTTTATTGTTATTTGTCGTCAATCGAAACGAACCGAAAAATTTTCGTTATCGCGTAGTATTCTTTCGGCCAAATTTATCGGAAAAATATTTCGGTCCGAATATATTGGATATTCGGCCTTTTGTTTTCAACCTTTTATTGGATTTTATTTTGGTCCAAATTGATTTTACAAATGAGCCCAAGACGAATTATTTTCAGTGCTATTAAATTCCTTAGCCCTGAGTATTATTTTGGCCCATATTGAACCAAATCCCTTGGCCATTAGAAATGTGCAGCGTAATTGTTACTCCCAGCGTGAGATTTCTTTTCCTCACGTGCGCCAGACCAAGTCACCTTCTTTCCCGTCGCAAGTTAATTTTCTGTTCCTGAAATCTCTCCCACAATCGCACGTTCTCTGAGCATCTACATAAGACTCGGTAGGGATGTTTTTCTTCATCATCATCTGCGCGAGCGAATCCCTGAGCTCTGTTCATCGTTCAAAAAAAAAATATCTGCCGCCAGATTCCGGCGAGCCTACCTTCCTCTCCGATCATCCTAGCCTCCGGCGAGCGTCGTCCTAAAGCAGCAGTTCGTCCGACCTCGAGCAACAAGTCCGAAGTCCCCAGCAACTCCGTTCGAAAGACGCCGGCGACCCGTCCTCCATTATTTCCGGCGAAACTCTGCCCGTCAGCCTCCGTCACCGATCAGTCGCCGTCCGTCGTCGAGGGCAGCGTCACTTTCCGTTCAAAAGCAGCACCTTCGAGGCCTTTCGAGTTCCCTCCGTCCGTTCGATTTTCCGTTCGTTCGTGCCTTTTCTGAGCTCGTATTTTCCCAAGGAGAGGTAATCAGCGGACCTTCTCGATATATTCATGCTCATGTTTATTCGCTCGATTATATTCGTGCTACTTGAATCGATTTCTTGTTGATTGTTTGATTCATTATTCGGCTCGTGGTTGTTTTGTTCGTCGGATTTCGATTCGTGAAATTTCGTGGAAAAATCGGAACTCTCGTTTTGTGTAAATTGATTCATGATGTTGCTGCGATTATTCGAGTAAGTTTCGGAGTCTCGTTCTATTGTTTCGATCGTTTTCGACGCCGTTTAGTCGTTAGTCTATTTTCGAGCCGTGTGTTGTAGTTTCGTTTTTCGATCCCAAAACTGATTTTATAAAACTCTCGATGTTCGGAAAATTTGTATTTTCGAAAAACTTACGCACTACTCGAATTCCGATTGCTGTTGGAAGAATCTGTAGATGAGTTCGATTAGAGTTTTTCAGCCCGTGTTCGCA